ACAGAGAGACAGACAGACAGAGAGACAGACAGACAGACAGACAGACAGACAGATAGATAAATAAGTAGATAAATGGATGGATGGATCGATCGATAGATAGATAGATAAAAACAAAAAATATACCTGATATTTTTCCCTGCTTGCTTGTCTGCTTCTTGTTGCGCAATTAATTTTTATTCTTCTTGTTTGTTGTTCCTTTTTCCTGTCTTGCTTCTTCTTTTTTCTGCGCTTTGCTTGTTTCTGCTTGTTCCTGCTTGCTTGTCATATTATGAAGAAACCTAGCGCCAATCTAGCGCTGCCTTGCTGTATCACTGCTGTATCACTATAGTCTGCTGGTGGCCCGCTTCTAAACGAAGACTTAAAAACACTTCTCCAACCTTAAAAGTTTACGTTTATCTTTGTTTTTTTGGAGTGGGCTTTTTGAGCGCAGTCCATATCCCGTTGAATGGTAAACATACCGGTATGACATGTATTGGACACCGTTTCTAACCATTTCTATTTTTGCCACGCCACCGTGCGGACAGAACCGAAATCGACGTCGATTACGTGACGTTGGTGCCATGACCGGTGCCATTCGGTGGGCTTGAGGCTAAGAACCCAGGCGCGCTTGAAGGACTGCAAGAGCAAGTCTCCATTGCTCTGCTGGCAAAGATGCCTTAACCATCATGGACGGCACTGCTGTCTCAAGTTTTGATCCCATGAAATTGGCATAAATTAACCATGAAATGGAGGAGTAGAGCCACTGAAACACGTAAATGCTGGTCATGTTGCTTCAGTTCCCTGAGTAATTATATTAAACCTCAAACACAATATCATCCCGCAATCATGGGTAAGTTGTTTGCACTGGAGGTTATGGGCCTAGAGTTTATAACTTGAATCCTCCAAAAAAGGCTTGGAAGAAGATATCGATCTGGTAAGTTACCCCCTAGGCCCCTGAAGAATCAGTCTTCCAAGATGCAGTTTCCATGTTTGTTGAGCAAAGGGTAAAACTATATCTCCAACACATGGAACGCCTATTGATTGGTGACTACTAACGAAAACAGGCCGTGAGGAATATATAGATTGAACACATGTATTCTACAACACTGGAGTGAGAAGTACAGAAGTGAGAGGCTTCATGAGTGTCCCCACATGCCACCCCAAACCCATCTTTGATACGCTCCTGAAAACTAACAAGGACCCTGATAATGGTACCCTCAAAGACCGTTTTCCTCTACAAACCAGTGGTTTTCAGGGTCTATGTTAGTTTTCAGTGGGGTAACTCTATCCTTGCTCTTTGTTTCTGAGGTTTCGGCGATAAAGGTGCTGAAGGAGCTGTCATTGGCCAGCGAGCAGTCCTGAACCAGAAAACAACATGCCCCTACCTAAACAAATATAAGAATGTCTAACTTATCTGAGGGCTATTGAGGGTCGGCAAGGTATTATGTACTTTTGGCAGTTTCCAAGGATCCTTTCAATGCTTCTCCCGAAGAAGAAGGTTCACCATGTGCGAGTGTGATTTCTTCACCCTCTGCTTTGGAACTTTGGAACTCCACAAACGGGAGATCTCCGCGATGAAGATAGAGATCACCTCGAAATATATAGAACAAGAAGTAAACCGGACGTACTATTGAAATTCAACCTCAACTACAGGAAGATGAAACCCTTCCTTTCTTTAACATCTTTAACAGTCATTAACATTCTCTATACAGTATTATGATGATAGGTTTGACATCTGAGCTTTTTAGTTTGAAGATAGTTTGAAGGTCTATCCAACATATGTTTTGATAGGTTTAGCATGGCTTAACATTCTATGACAGTTACGGATGACTTCCCAAAAACCTGTCCCGCCTTTACATTGGCGAGCATCAACACCCTGCCCCCGTTCACACTGCGCATCTTCGCCCACGGTCGCCCACCAGAGACCCAGTGGATGTCCGGAAGATGTCTGTCACAAATAGAAACCCGGGAAGCCTCTTAAACTGGTCCTTCCTGTACGTGGAACACGGGTGGTTCCTTTGTTGTGGAACAAACAGGTGATGTCTTCGCCAGAAAAAACGGGCTCCACGAGTTCGTCGACCTAGTGAACTGAACTGGACAGTCGGATGGCACTGGGCTGCTGCAACCCCACTCCAAACAGGTTTACGTCAGTCATCAATGCTTGCACAAGTTCCCAACATGCGCACCCATCGCGAAGGCCAATGCCATTGCGACTGGTTGGGACTCGAAGAGGAAAAAAAAACGATGTTCGAGTCAATTCCGACCGTTGATCGAAGGTCAAGAGTCATTATATAAGCGCCCCAATTTTTTTACGCCCCAAAAGCATGGATTAAAAAAAAACAGGCGGTTGGCATGTTTTGATGACTCCTCTGACTTCTCGGAAACCACGCTCCTTCTTCAGATACGCTCCTTCCTTGGCTCGCGCTGGATTGGCTCCTCCCGCCTGCATGAGCTGCAAGACACTCCAAGTGCGCTGCCAAGAAGACCGGCAAGCGCTCATGACCGTATTGAAGCTGATGACCTGAAGCAGCCCCTAACCCAAGAAAAGGGTCTACTAACCGGGAGCACCCACCCAGCCACCCACCACGGAGCACGATTTCGTGTGGTTTTGGGTCTGAACCCGTCACGACCAAGGTGAGTTGATGTTTTGGGCACCACACTTAACACGACATGTGACTGATGCTTCAAAGGATGCCTCCACTTATAACCTCGAACCTTCCGCTCTCCCGGTGGTGGCGCATGACTTCACCGGTGGCTCAATGGCTTCACCGGGGTGAGACCCCGGACAACCGACGGTTTTTCGTTGATTGGGTCTGCAACAGCCAAGCAAGCTTGGGCGTAGGAGTACTTGCTATGACTTTATAGTTCTTCCCTGATCAATCAACAAAGCCTCCCACATAAAATTGCAAACAATATAATTATGATCCCGTCCGTGATGACCTCGGACCCTGAGGGCGCCACTGGTTAGAAGAAGGAACACCATCACACTCAGAAGGGGCATTCGACCCGGGTCGGGTCCATGTGAGTTTTCGGGAGTGTAATGATTCTGTAATGATTCTATAGGAAGGACACTTGACGAAAACACCTCCAGGATTGGCTTGTCCCAGCTGCACTGGGCGCAGGTCCTCTCTCTTGCAGCGCCACTAGCTGTGCCATCGCTTTCCTCCGGAAAAAAAAATATATAAAGACTCCAAAAATGTGTGAAAAAAATAATAACAACAAAAAAACCACATATTGAACCACAACAAAACTTCTAAATTGTACAACCATTGGATTTCAGAGCTGTTTCACCCGTTGGAACATCGCTGTCACCAAATCTTTCTGTTCCAAGAGATTGACATTTCACACATGTCCACACTGGATTCTTCTTCCTACCGCATCTGTTCAGCAAAGAGTCGGCCCTAAGCACGGAAGGTGGGTTTCCCAAGCGTTGAACATCAAACCGTTGAACATCCCCGTAAATGGCAAGCACTATATCTACAAACAAGCTGTATACGGTACGGCTCTCTTAAGCACCTGTAGGTCATATGGTTGGCTCTTCTGGACAACCACTGCATGGTTCATAACACACATCCACAGTGACATCAACACGTTCTGATGCAAATGGCACCGGACTCCCAGTGAAGGCTTCTCGCAAAGGCATTCAGCAGGGAATTGGCACAAATCACCTTAGCAAAACAAAAGCAACGGCATTGCATTTCAGTTTGTCAGGCAAAACTTTCCTTCGTGGGACTCAAGGATTCTGTGGGACTCAAGGATTCTGCGACTGAAAAGCGAAAGAACAGTCACACAAAACGCTTGTGACTGGAATTGATTCCTGAACATCTATGCATGCCATGCACCCCACATGCAATTAGAAGTGATAAGAAATGATCCTCCCAATGCATGTGTATATAAAAATATGCATGTGTACATAATATAGGTTCCCATTCATTCAGCTGGCTCACATTGGGCTTCGGTCCAAACTCATGCATATACTCGAAGAGACCAAGTGCTTCTCGCCTGCGAGTGGCAAAGCCCGAAGCCCAGTTGAGGTGGGCCTTTGCATTTCCTTCAGGATCCTAGAAACATGTGGGTGTATGTTAATTGGAGACCCCCCAACATCCCCCCTGGCCCAAGGGGTAGACTGGTCTACTTCCCTTCTTCCAGGGGGGTCGAACTGGGAGGTCTCCCTAATTCTGAAATTGAAACATTAAACACATATGTATATATACCTAGAACCTGAATGACCTCTATTTTGGACCACCAACCACCCAAAATATGGTCTTTTCCTATCAAAACAGAGAATGGGTTCCAGGTATATATATATATAAGTTATACAGCGTGTATATATATATATGTCCCATGAGTGATTGGCATCCTTCTGCACCCCAAACTGTTCAGCCATTTTCAGCCAAGTACATGGTCAGCACGGAGGATGGTCAGGCCCCGTTGACCATAAATGAACTCCGGCCTTGCTGGATTGTCTCAGCAAACTGCTTCTGCTTCTCTTCCACACAAACTACATCCAGAAGCCACTACGAGTAAGAAAAAGATCATGTCTCTGTCAAGCATTAAATTTTCAGGTTCTAGAAGACATTTCAACACCTCCTGTTTCTATACACTTACTTTTGTTGATGGCCTACGTCGGCCTACATCCGCTCCAGCTTCTCCACGGCTTTCGACCTCGCTTTCTCGGCGTCCCACGTCGACTCTCCCAGGCACCAGGCTTTGCCCTCGGCACATGCGGCCAGCGCTGCGCCAAAGGAGACCAGCTGCCAGCGCACCGAATCCGCACCTCGAGCGCCCCGCAAGGAGCCGGCCGCGCTCCGAGCGTCGTGGAGCAAAAACCTGAGAAGTCAGGGAGCAAAACCTGGGCCAGGAAGGACTTGTGGAGTTTGGACATGTCTCTGATTGATTTGTCAATGACCCATGATCGTCCATGATCTATGCATGTCACTGGCTTGTGAGTTGTTGACAAGAGGGGCTTCAACTTGACAGAATACTTCACGCATCCTTCTCACGCCCCCCCCACGCGATCCTCCCCTCACATCGACCATTCATGGTGGCAGTGGATCCTTCCGCTCACATCGACCGGTTGGCACGTGGATGGACCAGGGCAAAGGGGTCACGACTGGGTCCCCATGTCACCAATCCTGAGCCCAGCAAAGCTCTCACGCACGAGGTCGGTGTGGTGCGTCAAGCTGCAAAGATCTTTGCCACTCAGCTGCCTTGCCACAGGCTGCAATAGCAGAGCTCCAAGTGACTTCCTCGATCGAGGAAGATCTCGGTGGGTGGTATTGGGATGAGTTGGGTATGCTTCTTAATCCAGAATATCCCCAGTACTATTACTGTGTTCCAGCAAAAGCCACTCATGGAGTTCACAAGTGGAATACATGACGAAAATCCCAATCACCAAATCATGCTTGTTTGAAGGAAGTACGGGGCCCAACCTGATTTGTCGGGTTGGTCATAGTGCTCACGCTACTAGTATAGAGGAAAAGTGCCTCCTGTTAGCAAGTTTATGTCCAACATGTCCGAAACATTCAGAGTCAGTCATACATAGGTGCCTTCTATTTTGAGAGGTGTCCACAATCTCGGTACAATAGCAAGAAATCATTCACCGGAACAACAGAAACAATAACCATACACAAACCAAACTACTTCTCCAAGGTGGAACAATCTTGAGTTCAATCAAACACCTTCTATCATGATTAACTTGTCCATTATTTGTCCTTACTTGACCTCACCTACAAAGAGTCCCCAAATCAGGATGTCAAAGAGTCCCCACATTAGCATGTCAATTTGTCCTTTGCAAATGATTTGCCAGAGCCACGCAAGTGCCTATTTTCAAGCAGGTGTCAGGCGGTTTCAGGAGGTGGGGAACATGATTGGTCTGCAAGTGCTTGATTTTGAGTAATATCCAACAAAGGTCGTACATCCCGGACATCCATGTCTGGATTTTTCTTCACAGCACGTAATCTTTAAACATCACATCAAGAACAATTTTTTTGTGGCACACAACCGACACAACCTCATCCATCAGTTCCTGCGTTCCCCCAAAAAAGAGGCAACGAAAACTCCATCAGTTCCTTGCAACGACTCCACCTGAGGCTCCAGGCATTGGCTTCGACGTCGGAGTTCTCGATCGATTTGAGCAACTCCAGTGCCACCGGCCAAGGCGCGCCGCCTGGCGAAGACAGGTCGACAGAGATGACGAACTCTCCGCTTGGGATGAGGAATCATGATTGATAAATGTTCTAATGATTTCATCAGGAAGAAACATATAATATACATGAACGCAAACAAAATCTCCTGTTGCCCGTTCTTTCGCAGAGCTTCAACAAAGGTAATTCCAATGCATCCCCTATTCTCCATGAATACACATGTTCCAGTGCAAAACAAAAAACACATGGCTTGTTCTCTCTCTCTCTCTCACTCTCTCTCTCTTGCTTCCCTCTCTGCTGCGAAACCGTGCTTGGGATCTTTGATCATGTGTGTAAAAAGCCACATGTTTAAAACAACGGATCAAACACGGAGTCAACACGTGCAAGTCGCAAGTCCGCAAAGGTTGAAGAGTCCGACACATGGAGCTCCGGAGCGAGCCTTTTTGACAGGCATCGATGGTCACGTTGAAGGACACCAAATTGTATGGTAATCTGGGCGAGTTCGACATTCAAGGCCGGAAGATTGCCTTTGTTCGGTGATCAACCAGCATTGTAGAGCTCGCGCGAGCTTTTTGTTTGATCCCATGATATCACATTTCTGGGGTTTTGGGAAATTTGCCTTTCACATGATCCATACCTTCTGAAAACTCCAGGTATAGAGGGCTTGAAAGAAGGAACCTGCTCTTTTGGGGGGGACTTGGTCATTTGCTTGCTTCCCTTGGTTTCACTTTGAGCAGTGTTCTCGCCAGACATGCAAACGACTTAAAGACTCCAAAGTCCAATTTCCAAGGAAAAGCAAAGGGATTCACTCAATCATGACCAATGGAGATCAAAGATGCTGAGTATAGCCAGCCCCAAACTGGCCCAAACATACACCAATTCATAAGGAGCCACAAACATGCATCTGTATCTTGCAGCATGCTGATGTATTTCGGTACTTCCAGGTGGTGCAGGTTCTCTTCCTTCAACCATTTGGTGCAGCCGAACGGCCCCGTTTCCGCGTTGCGCCCCGTGCCTTTGCTGCTGGGCTGTGTGGAGTAAGGCCACACATGTCTCCCAGGCGCCTAGAGGGTCAGGGTCGAACAGCCGAAGTGACCTGCATATGTGTACCCTATGGATCCACTGCCACCGTACCTCAGGTTCGCTATGTGGGCTCTCCTGGCGCCGACATCAATAGTCTCCTTCCTCACCATACCTCAGGTTTGGTATGTGGATCCATAGGGGGTAAATTGAACGGGACAACTCGAAGTCTAGAAGGTCGTTTAGAACGACAACAAACAATTAGTCATGGGACAACAAACAAATTTGCCATGACTTTGTAGAATGGGACCACTTGGACAATTAGATAGAACTGCAATACAAAGGCAACCCCCAACTCGATGAGACCCCACCGGTCAACGTAACTTTTTGAAGGTTTGACCTGATTCAGCGATCGTTGTTTCAACATGAGGGTCCCAGTTTGGCAAGGAGGTCGTTCATTGGAATCAGTTCAACTTGGAAATGCAACAATGTGTGCTACTCACACCGGAGAACTTGGGTTGAAACAAATATATATATATATACCTATAACCTCTTCTTGGGCAGAAATTTCTGCCTATTATGGGTAAAGGCGACTTTGCCCGTGCTTAGGCGTTCTTGTCCTTTTGGTGGCATTGCTCAAATAGATGAGGATCCACCCACCACTGATTCCAGGAACTTTCATAGTGAGGCACATTTGTTTGTCAGGAATTCACTTATTGTTTCTCTTGTGATATCTTTTGTATGTTTTTAGTTTTTCTATGCTTTGATTCATTGCTTTAATATCTTTTTGCGTAGGTGTTCTTCCCGTCACTTAGGCGTTCTTACCCGTTACTTGGGCGTTCTTGCCCGTTACTTAGGCGTTCTTGCCCGTTCCCCCCCTCACTACAATCAATAGTTGGGCGGACAACGGAATGGTAGCCTTTTTGGATCTTCTTGGGGGAGTGAGCGACATGAGTTTCAATAACTTTGACTGGGGATTAGCGTCAAGTGGCAGGCGTTTGTTTTCTCAATTTTTGTCATTCAAATTCTGGCTCTGCCTCCTGCATGTAAGAATGCATGTGATTGTGCCTCGGCGTTTTTGACCCTCGAGGCTGCAGCTTAGGCGTTCTTTGCAAAAACGGGCTGAATTTTCTGCCTAAATGGCGTTGGGCGGAAATTATTGCCTAACGAGGTTCTAGGTATATATGAAGCTTACCCAAACTGAAACCAAAATCAACGCCTCAAAACCACCACTGAGCAGGTCTAGCCTGCTCTTTGGCAGCCCTGCATCAAAGCCGAGATCACCCCAACGGGCATTCCTGCACCGGTCAAGGGGTCAAAATCTGTCAAAACGACATTGCCATGGGATCACCCTATTGGTCTTACCTTTTGTGGAGCTTTCAGACTTTCCACCAGTTGCAGCATAGCAATTAAGCATATGTTCACAAGAGATTTGCTACACAGACATAGGTATACTTCTGCCAGGTTGAATGGAATCTTCACTGTTGCACATCTTACTTTGATTCAAGCTTTAGGGTGTGGACAGCGTTGTTGCTTCTATCAACTCCAAAAAAATTTTCAAAAAAGAACTTGAACTTGACAAATATGCCATCTGCACAATCATGCGTGACTGACCGTGACTGTTTACCCAAGTATGACAAATGAACAGCTTGCAAACCGTCAATTTTCTGTTGATCAACTTGCCACTTGGTGCACGAGACCACAGAACTGCAACAAACATTTCAAAAGTCAAGTATATAATTATCGTCGCTCAAAAACAACACACAACATAGGCTTCACAACATGACACACACATACATACACAAGAAAAGAACACATCATATCAAAACAAACACAACATACCTTTTCTAACATAAAACAACACACCAAAACAACAACATGTGTCAACATGCGTCAACGACATGTGTCGCGAGTGCAAACCCGCTTCTGCCGCCGGTGCCTGGATTCGAATCCACCTGGAGAGTTTGGGCCGTCTCCCATAGCGGCTGTGCTTCGCAAGAAACATAGACCAATGTTCTGCACCACACGGTTCTATGCACTCACAAGGTTTGTACTGACGGGCATATAAGAACTGTTGCGTGGTGAATCTGAATTGTTGTGTTTATATCTGATACATCTACCTACTCACCGTCTCTCTGTTTCTCTCAGACTCTCTCTCTCCCTCTCCCTCTCCACATCTTCTTGTGTGTGATCTATGCACACGAGTTTGCATCGAAATAGAGAGACCCTTTAACCCATCGAGGGTAAACTCGCCTATGTTTCCTACCCACCAGGGGGTTGTTTTCAGGGTGGTCTCCCAAATTATAGTAGTTGATCCGCATATGCACCATAGCCTACATTGATCGCGCCTGATTTGCCGGAGAAGGGCGTGGAGAACTCATCTCCTGTCACGTCGCATCTCTTGACTCCAAGCGGTCTACGGGTCTGAAATAGCAGGGGGCTTGACTCCATCGTGAAAGCCGGTTTCCCCCTTCTGTGGCACTCGGAGTCAAGCGGTGAACATCAATTTGCATGCGAAGAACTTCTTCCAACCCAAAAGGGCGATGGTGAGTCGTGCATAAAACTGATAGAATTGGACAAACTGATCTCGGTCCCCCCCCAGACCATCCATGTATGGAATAGTTATTGGGGCTATTATCATGGGGTAAACGATATGTAGCTCTTCCAGTACCAACCCCCCATTCCTTTCACATCACAATTCGTTTCATCGAAGTGAAACAACAACAGAGCTCCTCCCAGAGGAGGTCCAAGGCCCATTCCCACAGCTTCTTGGCAACAAGGCCCCGGACCACCGGCACCAAGTCCTAGCAGCACGAGCCACACCATGGCGCCAGCGACGTCGGCTGAACGAGTGAAATGAACAAAACTAGGCTTTATATGGCGCGAATCGTTTTAGTTGGAGGAGTAGGGATGAGACATGATGAGACAAATAAATCAAGAAAGGAACAATGTGGAGTCATCTTTTACGTTTTAAACTGTATATATATATAGTTGTGGCTAAGCAGTGAAAATCCTTGAATCCAATCATGTTGATTCCTCTTTAAACAAGAAAGAAAAACACAACTTCCATCCACTTCCCCTGTTCCGCGATCGTTCGGTTTTCATCGCCTCGCCTCGCCCAGCTCGCCACACACATCGTCCAGGGCCCAACGCAGCTCTGAGGAGGAGACGTCCTGGACGCGCGTCCCGTGGGTTGGAAGAGCTTCATGTCCCACTTAATGGGATGTAAACTAAATAGACTCTTAATCTATGTATCCTTTATAATATATATCTATTTTTTACCTCCCAGGTCCCATTGGAATTGGACATCCTCACAATTCTCCATATGGAGAAATGATATATCAAGAGTCTACATAAATTAATAGGTGTCAGTGTGGGTACCTGAAAATAGACCAGTCTACCAAGCCAGGGGCGAGAAAGGGGGGGTTCCCGGATCTAAAAAGAACTTTAAAAAACTAACCGAATGGACTACCGAATGGACTATCGATGAGTTGGCCTAGACCTTGCGAAAAGGGCACACGAACGTGATTTTCCATCGAAGAGAGAGGGTGTGGGGAATTGAACACCAAACCCAAAGCAAGGATCCGCAGGCTTTCGAGCCTATTTCTGGACCCTGTTTTGATCGCCAACTCCTGGACTGACTCCCTCAATCCCCCGTCACTCCAAGCTGGACGGCGATGCAAATGATTTGGGGGGAGCATCTCTGAGTCTGAATGTGGCAGGTCTGATCTCCACACCAGCCTTTAGATGAACAGTCGAATTGGTCGAACATGTCCTCTTTGTCGACACACATTCATGTTCCAGCCGTCCAACAACCCGTGCATCAGCAGTTTCCCAACCTTTGACACTTTTGTGCTTCAACTTTGAACTGACATAAGCACAAGCTACAGTAACCCAAATCTTGTGAAATAATGTGAAATACCAAAAGCATAGGTCCCATCCAATAATCGGAGTGCTTTCCACAATTGGGCCAACCCATAGGTTCACATCTCCTCACTATCAGATTCGACCACTCTGTGCGCTGCGCGGGCAAATCCAGCAAATCCAGTGAAACAGCCACGTTTCAAGCGAGTCACTACCCTTGGAATATGTTTCATATTCTCCCCAATCCCAGGAATAGTCCGAGTTTTTTTGCAAAAAGCTAGGAAATATGGAGGTATAGCTCTAGAGCCTCAGCAATAGCCTGCCCTAAGGACCTACTTTAAGGTCTTCAAACTGCACAAAGACACCGACCTTCTCTTTGAGCAAGTCCAGCACTGCCGACCTCGATTTTTTGAGAAGAACCCGACTGCGGTTCACCGAGAAGAACAACCCCTCTGACATTGAGGGGGAAATGATCTAGAGATACAAGCGGGCGCCCAAAGATACGCCTTTTTTTGAGGATGATACGCCTTGGGGCATGGACCTAGTACATTCAAAGTTTCTGTTATTCTCTGAGACGCTGTGGTTTGAGGCTTCGACAAACCCCCAGTTCTTAGGACCCAGTGAAAAGTCATTGCGACTGGGTGGTTCAGATCATCCAAGCAATGCAGGAAAAGAAGTGGAGCGTGGAGCTTGTCAATCCGACCTCCACAAAATCATCCGCGGGGGGCCAGTACAGAATGGTGTGTGTGTGATGTGTGTATAGGTGTACACATCAACTCATGTGTGGTTTCACATGTGAAAACTCCGAGTCGCCAGTCGCCAGTCAGGTCCAAACTCATGAACCTCGATCTGTGTTGGTCCGCTTGTGCCAACAAGTTTGCCTATTGCCGACAAAGGTCTGGGAGTCCGATGAGGGATATGGTGTTTCTTATGACTAATGTTATGACGAGCTTAGCTCAATTCCAGGAACAAATTTGGTCTTGAAGGGAGAACGGCCCCACCCCCCTGGTTCGAAAGGACCCTGGACCAACACCTATTGGGCCTGCAGTGGGTCTTCCTACACACCCACATGCCGTTCTGGTTCTGACGAGCCGTTGCTTTCACATCCCCCACGTATCTTCCGGAGCCTCTGGTCACGAAGCTTCCGGAGGGAGGCGAATCGCCTGTGAGAGGCAGCACGAGTCAGGTCTCAGTTCACCTGTCTCTGCGACCCTCTTGACTCTCACGAATTTGAAGCAAAAGGAGGTCCAAACATGTGAGGTCCACGCCTGTTGGTGCCCCTGCATGGGGTGAGGGGTCAAGACCCACTAAAGCCAGGATCTGAAGAAACCCGATTCAAGAACCAGAACGCGATCCAAGAGAAATATGACCAAACATACTACCAAAACTCAACGAAGCAAACCATGCCACCTGTTCCACCCAGTTCAATGACTTGAGAGGGAAGGCTTGAGTCAGTGACTAGAATCATATTATAGATTGGGTCAATGTTGGATCCTGGATCTGCATCTTTCTGTCCGTCACCTCCATTTTCACACGCACATCCAACTCGCTTTTTCAACCGCCGCTTCTGCTCCCCCGGCCGGTGTGTGGCATCTGTCTTGGCGCGGATGGCTGTGTCCCGCGTTTCATGCCACCCCCTGGCCCATAGGGTTGTCCTTGGACTTCATGCCGTAGAATAACCCATGTCTTGTGGCATTAAGGTCACCAAATGAATGTGCTAGAGCGGCGACGAGAAGTGTGCTGTGTAGTTACTTGCGGGTGGGTCAAGCTCGACAGTTGGAATTCCGCCAAGCAACTGTGTTCTGGAAAAGATGTTGCCAGCTCGCCAAAGCCAAAAGCAGCAACAAACAAAGGACTGGAAGAGCACAGGACCTTGGTTGAGTGTGTACATGCTAGTAACGGTGAGAGTGTCTCTCTATCTATTCCAACATATTCCAGGTATTCTGCATGTATAGCAATACTTACTAGTAACAAGAAGCTACTAGGGGCTCCTGGCCTTACTAGGACCTAGGAGCAATGTTCACATACATGGGGCTCCTATCGACGAAGCGAACGGCTCCCGCCTGCGAGCGGCCGGAGCAAGGACGAACGCCTCGAGGTCACAACCGGGAGCGAACCAGTCAAGGCGTTACCAGCCATACACTTGGAGCATCACATTTCACTATACCTGATCTTCTCAGTCCCATAAAAATCAATACATATATTCAATATATATATATATAATAGAAACATGTTCTCGTGATGATTGTGTCGATTTGTGTCGCAAGCGTCATGCCCAGTCCGGCCATCTGGTGGCCATGGCGGCACGGAAATCGCTGCGGCCAGGCAAATTTAATCCATGGCGGCCAGTCGAATCAGCAAGTAAGGCCAAGCATCCCAATGGACATGTACAGGATGTTGCGGATTACAGTCGGGAAAACACACATCACTCTCCCAAGATCCCCAAAAGAGTCCCAATTGCCATCCAAACCATTTGACCGCCTAGAGGACCTTCCCACATGGCAGCTATGTGGCCGGTGCCTTTTGGATAACTTGTGGTTCCTTTCCTGAGAGCCTGTGAGCCTGCGATCTGTCTGCAATGAAGAGCATGTGGATTCATGTTCTCGAATCTATATAGAATGGATTCAGTCGTTTAAGATCTTTATGAGAACATTGAACATTCTTTGTGCTCAATCTACTCAAGGCCACAGTTCGGTGGTTTCTATGAATCCCCATCTAAAAGACATGTTGGGGTGCCATGGCATCATGTCCACCTTTCTACGTCTGAAAACCCGTGTCGACTCAAAGTGAAAAGGACCCCAGTCGCGTGCCGAACTCGCGTCCGTTCCTGAAAGTCCCTCGGATTCCCGCCCAGCCCCGGGCCCCGCACTTTCAATCGCCGGGTCACTGCTTCGACGGAAGACATGCAGTCGACTGCATCAGCTGACAAGACTGGACAATTGTTTGGGTCTTCCAGAGTTGCTGCTTGAGATTGTACAGTTCATGTGGCCAAGACAATCCATGTTAATAGTCAGCCCTCTGCAGACCCCATGTCTTCCAATCCAAGCGAGTCATCCAACAGGGGAGAAATCGGTGCGGCGCAGCAAAATATATAGTCGGTACCGACGTCGTCGGTTGATTTCGCCCTATTCCGTTGAAATAATACCAATGATTGGGTCCGCCCCTTTTTCATGTTTCCAGTATTTTCCAGTGAAACTATTGTCGCTAGTGCTAGGTGCTAGTGTACTTTGCGACATACTTTCCGGACACCTACAGCTGCCTATTGCTTGAAAGGAGACCCTTGATGTCTGTCAAAGCGAGCACAGCGCTGTGGCACATCAGTATTGACTCCAATAAAGGAAGTAGGCCGGAGCCTATCAACTCCAATAGTAACAAAACGATAGAATGCCAAGAAAAGCAGTTCACATTCTTGACTTACTGACAAACAACCGTATACGGAGATTCGCACCACCAATTCGGGAGTTCTGTCACCCCTGACTGCTTCAGAGTGCCATGGACACTCATGGGTGTGCCCCATCGGCCCCACACCAAACCGGATGCCTCCTTGGTGCTTCCTCCACCCTCTTGGTGCTTCAAACCGGTTGCGCTTCGACCGCTCCAGCCCATCGGAGACATGTGCCGCGCAAAGGGGCCCTGCTCGGAGGGAGGGACTTCACGGCGAGACTCGGTGTCGAGCGCCCTTTCCGCGGCGTCCGCGGCGTCCGCGAGATGCGGATCTTGAGGACCGGATCTCTTGGGTCTATCCCATTGCCAGTCACAGTGGATGGTTAGCTTGCAGGCCTTGTTCACAATGAGTGCTTTGCTTGTTTAAAGGTCCGGTTTTCTCGGTCAGTTCGGACGGACCTGGGTCATCCGATCTCTTACGTTTTAGGATCTTCCATGATGTACGATCTTGATGTCCAGGTACTCTCACCAATTCAAGCTTCAGTTGCTTGCTGGTTCTTGCTGTCAGAGTCTAGAGTCTAGAGTCAGTCTATAGAGAATCAGAATGGATATTACTTTGCTATCAAAAAGATAGATCAGCCGTTGTTTTTTTTCATAAAACACACCAAGGCTTCCAAACGACCAATGCTTCCGTTCGCCTCTAGACGAATCATCGGACCAGAACCATGCTTCGATTGTTGCTCACCCCAATTCAGTGTCTCAAAACAACGGGAGGCTGACATCCATGAAGGGGTGGATCCACGTGTGACAGGTGCATCTCACAACAAAACTGTTGCCTTGCGTTTTTTAGATATTTCGTTTCACTTCGTGTATGCGACCCACAGCCAATATAGATCCTTTAAATTCGAACTTGGGCCACCTGCAACACTTGCCTCGCCGCCCAGCCATGCATCGCCGCTCGCTGTGGGCGAACCGTCGCGCTCGTGGTGCTCGCAGTGGCCAAACGAAGACGTTGGCCGCCCGTGGCCGTTGGTTCACGCACTCTTCGAGTGGACCGGATGAACCAGGGACACCGGGGAAGACATCTGGGCACTTCCGTGTCGTGTTTTTCCCAAAAGGTCGAAAGAACCGTCTGACCAATTGAGAACGGTCGTCCTTGGCCGTCCGGACGGTTCCTTCGGAGAGTCCGTGTGGTCGTTTGTTGGAAGTGTGCCCAAATGGACTGCGAGCCTTCGCCACAAACCGATTGGAGGGAATTGCAAGCTGCGCACGACATTGATATAATGTGTGTGTTTGATACAGTAATTGTGCATCTTGCCTCCATCTGTATGATCAACGGGAAGTCGTATTTCTAGTCCAAGACAGCCTGCAGAACGCAACCTCTCGCAACACGGTGACGAAATGGAGTCTGACTGTCGCTGCACGTCATCACATTGCCTTGCGGCTGTTAAGCCTTGGAACCCAAAATGACTGGGTTGTAGAGGAACATTATGGAAAATGGTTTTCCACAGGTTTATTCTCAGGGTCCGCGCAAGTGTGTGTGTGTGTATCTCTTATTCTGTCCGAATCCTTTTGTTCGAATCTGGCGAACTCTGAAACTCTGGCTTCGGGCTTCAAACCGAGTGAAGCACCCTTCGCCCATCTTCAGGCACCAAAAGGTCACAGAGTCAGCACCATGTGCCGCATCGAAACACCGATCTCGACACCTCGCCACGCAGTGACCCGAGGACCGAGAGGGGGGTCATAGATCTGCATTTCAACACGACCTGTCTGGGACTGCCGACAATGGCAGTGTGTGCTTCGGGGGGTCTTTCTGTTATATATGGATTGTCTATAGGCTACAGTAGATACCTTGAACTATAGCTCTTAATTGGGTATATCGGTAAATCCCATTACCAGCAGCAGTGGACGATGATGGATAGTCAAGGCTGCCCAAACATCGTGAAGTCTTTTTACTGTTACTGGTGATCCTTTCATCCTGAAAAACCTAAACCAAACATACCTTCCTACGGAAACTCTGCAGCTGAAGAAACAAACAACACAGGCCACAGGCAGGTACTTTGCAGGTGAATCACAGACCAGCAAGGATGTCCTTCGAAACTGATCAAAAGAACTTATATAAATTCCTTTACATATAACTTCTTTCAAGCTTTCCAGTCAGACTCATGACACCTTCTTCCTCGCCCATCTGGTAGGCACTTTGTTGGGAAAATGATCCCGGCCGAGCAATGCTCCTTGAGGTGTTGTGGGTGAGTCAAAGATGGGTACCTCATGGTCAAACTGTGAACCCCAGAAAGAAGACATCTAATGTGGAACATGCACCCGATACAAGTCTGACAAAACAAACATAAACAAACAAAACCTCCAGAAGCTCCTGGGGGACAGTTCCTTTTCGTCAACTCCCCTTTGCCAATTCTGTGGAGCTGTAAGAACCTATTTGTCTGAACTTCACGTGCCTGCCACGCGTCTCGGCCGTGGGGGATCGTCGGATGAACGGTCTTGCCGGTGAAAACCCCCGATGATCCTCGAGCCTCGGATGTTCCCCCGAGGATCAAGGCTCCAGCCAAGGACCAGGCGGCAGCGTTTGCAAGCTCTGGACAAGTCCCGTTCGGCTTCACGTTTCGTGGACTAATTAGTTTTGGGTTCTGATTCAAAGAAATGAAACAAAAACACGTCCAGAGCTTTTGGCCAACATCGCTTGGTCTATGACTAGCGCAAATCTGGATGCATCCGCCAACAACGTCTGCGATAAAAAAAACGCCCTGGCTGCGGACGCTTGAAAGGCAACAGGGGGGTAGCGAAGGTTTTTGGTTCAAGGATATCCTTGGATATTTCATGCAACATGTATAGCGATCGGTCTGTGAATGGTCATTTGGTCACTATGCACACCCACATGGCGTCTATATTTAAACAGGGAGACCCCCCCAACACATCGGTTTTGGTCTTCCGGTCGAACTGGGGTCTCCCTATTTTAATGTATCCAATACAGTAGTGGTTTCGGGGGGGATCGATGGTCTTCACAGATCAATCCATGATATAATCTTGGTCCATAACAAGGGCTTTTGGATGAGTGGCTGCATGTATGAAGAAACTGTTCCCTCTGCATTGCCATATTCCCAATGGTCTTTGAATCACTCGGGGCAATAAGCTGCAATGAACATGGAACCTGAAAGCAGTTTGACAAACCGGGTTCCATGGCTGTTGGGACTTCCATAATTTAATTGTGACCATCTGACAGAAAAGGGTGTCTTGCATGTGAGCCATAATGCTTGTTGCACAATGTTGCACGTGATCCATGCATCCTTCACAACCAAAACATCACATCTCGTTACCCACCTGTTGCATCTGCTACATCACCTGCAGTGTCGCAACCTGCAACCTGCCAGTCTCGAGCAGGAATTCAGCATAGAAACTGACCTCCGTCCGGATTTCTCTGCAAACAGCTACAGCTCCCGAATCTGGGCACCCATCATTCTTTGGAGCACAGGTTTGTTTGGAAGTATCGTGCCAAGTGGTTGGGCCACGGAAAATCCCTATAAGCGCTTTCCGCAACTGACCGCGCACATCCGCGCACATCCGCGCGAAACGGAGCAATCACGTTCAGCCGGTCGAAACAGCCGACCCGACGTGATGGGGAGCGAACCGTCGACGTGGAGGCACCATTTTTGGCACCAAGGGGTCGACTGGGAATGGGAATCTTTGGGAATGGGTGTGATCAAGAAGCGACTTCCATACATGAAACAATCGATGTGCAACCGCTTACCGCTCCCCTGCCATCGTCTCTGGCGACCCATAGGAAAACCCCCGATTCTCCCACAAATCTGCTCGGTCACCAACTCAGCACCAGATCCACCCACCAACTCAGCACCGTCCCTGAAACGGAGGTGGCTCCAGAGCCCGGAGTGAATCGCCTGG